AACCCCAGGAACATGAGCACTTCGCCTTTATATGGGTGTTACTCTGATGGCATAGTGCCTAAGGCATTTGACTGCTAACCAGAAGACTGGCGGTTCAAACCCACCAGCCACTCCTCGGAAGGAAGGTTGGGCAATCTACTTCTGTAGTGATACTGCTTTGAAACTCAAGGAGGGGTCACTATGAGTCAGGATCACTCCACAGCAGTTTTTTGTTTGTTTTTTTTTTTTTTTTGCATAGCAGATAAGTCTATGGTGAGCTCTACTCTTAGTCTGTGCTGCACACACCCAGCCTTCTCATGTTAATTTTCTCTGTGTCCTTCAGGTTGCTGAGTATCTTAGCTGAGTGATTATGGGGACATTTTGAGTTACATATGATATCAGGAGCTGTTAAGCTGTCTGTCTATATACCAGCATTTAGAGAATTTTGAATGTACTATAAAGATAGGATAAATAGCACCCATCAATGTTTAAAATCTATATGGAAAAATCACGCACACACCAATTTATGAACTCTAGGCATAGTGGCTAAGGCACTTGACTGCTAACCAGAAGGCTGGCGGTTCAAACCCACCAGCCACTCCTCGGAAGGAAGATGGGGCAATCTACTTCCATAGTGATACTGCCTCGGAAACCCAAGGAGTGGTCACTATGAGTCAGGTGTGACTCGACGGTACATAACAACAGCAAGGCATATCAATTTAGTGACACAGCGACAGACAGAGGAACAGATTTAGGGAAGCCAAATATAGCAGCTGCCAGCTAAGAAAAGAATTCGAAAATGGAAATGGACAGCTCCTTTCTAATATTTGACCCCTCTCACATGCCATCATGATGAAAACCCTTTCTGTATTAGAGTTCTCCATCCATCACATGCCTCATCTACCAGGACAGACACAAACCTGGGCAGCATTTTTAATAATTTATTTTGGAGGTTCAAATAAAAGACATTTGTGGTTATGTAAAACAAGACCATGGGGGCTGGTCAATTTAATTGCACAGTCATAATAGTTCAACAGTGTCCTCAAGACCTGAGCTCTCCATTTCTGGCTTCTGGTCTTCACTGTTGCGGTTTTGACCTCAGGTTTATGTCCACAGTGTGGCAAAATGAGTGCAACAGATCTGGAGAACATTTTGTCCCAAGCCTTGGGCAGAGCTCTAGCTGTTCTCGGTGTCCATTCGCATGCTTTTCTTTGCTCAGACAGCTGAAGAATGAAGAATTTGGAAGGGCAGCATGGGAAAGAACAAAAGCAAAACTGGTTTTTGAAGAGCTTGTAGTAATACATCTTGGGCATTTGGTGCAAATTAAGTGACTGCATTTTTGAATATGTAAATTTGAAACATCATATATGCTAAGTGATGCATATAACCTACAAAGCAAATACAATCTTGAAATATGTGGATTTGAGGTATGGTTTATTTTACTAGTTCCCTGAAAAAAAATATATGAGCACTTGATTATTCTCTAGTTTGAACCATCTCGGTTTGTATCTGCTGAAAGTTTCCTCTAACACAACTCCTGTCTACAGAATTTATTTATTTATTTATTTGTTTGTTTTTGACAGCTTATTTCTCTGCATCAATTCCCTCAGAGCATTATAGATGCTTAGTGAACACTGTTCACAACTGTGATGCTTAAGATAGACCTTTTTCTTACACAGAATGTTTCCTCCCCCAATCCCCTGCTTAACTGGAAACAATATTCCTTGAGAATCCAGTAAATGTTGAGTTTATACCATAACTTTTGCTGACCTTAGCAGAAATGAACCAAGCAATCACAATAGAAGGTCCTGAACAGAGTGGGAGGAAAAACAAAAGTAGAACAGAATTAAAAGTCGTAAAAAAGACTAGATTTACTGCCCTAATAGAGACTGGTGGAACTCCTGAGACTATTTTTTGCATAGTCCATCAAATCCAAGGCATTTTGGATGCAGGACTTTCTTCCACTGGTTACCATTTAAGTAAGTTGTTTTCTCCTTTAAGTTCTAGCCAGTTTTTGCTCCCAGTATGAGGTAGCCCTGGTGGTTCAGTGGTAGAATTCTCACTTCCCATGCAGGGGATCTAGGTTCGATTCCTGGCTAAGACACCTCATGCATAGCCCCTCCTGTCAGTAGAGGCCATGATGTTTCAGTGGCCCTTCCAGACTAAGATGGAGTAGAAGGAAAGGGCTCATGATTCACTACCAGAATATCAGCCAGTAAAAACCCTGTGGATCACAAGGCCTCGATCTGCAAAGAGTCATGGGATGGGACAGGACCAGTTGCATTATGTTCCTTCGCACATGGGACTGCCATGAGTCAGGGGCCAATTTGATGGCAAACAATAACCTCCCCCACCCCAGGACAAATTGAAATTTTCTCTCCAATCCTGTTGGCCACTGAAAAAGTGATTTACCGCATAGGTTCTATACTTGCTTTTAGCTCAGTTGAATTCAAGAAATTTAAAGACATTTTCCTGGCTAAAAACAGTTATGTGGCTCTCTGTTTATATAGTACTCTCAATTCCTGACTGTATTCTTTATTCCTGGATTTATATCTCCAACTATCTCTTAGTTTTCACATTCTCGCACTCTGACTACACTTCCGTCTTATTCACAGTTTATTGTCCTCATTAATTTTTGGCCACCAACTTGCCTATTACAGACACATTTATTTCCAGCATATTTTTTGACACACAGAGACTGACACTTTGTCTACCATTCAGTCATTAATAACAAATATATTTTGGTATACAATGAGGATGGGTCTATTCATTGCATATAAATATACACTTGCGTTTCATTTTGCCACACACCCCCCCTTTTTTTAAAAAAAAACTTTTTATTGTGATGTGGGTGAAATTTTACAAAGCAGATTCACTTCATATTCAACAATTCATGCACATTTTGTTTTGTGACACTATTGCAATGCCCACAATGTAACAGGTCTCCTCCTAGTTCCTCCTGTGGTACTCTTTCCCTTGTCCTTCTTGCCTATGCATTCCTGCCTCCCTAGCTTTCTCCTTGTGCACATGTTGCCCTTCTGATCTCCCATGACCGATTGTTCTCAGAAGTATACCTCCATGATATAGTTGTTCAGCTCATAGGCTTGTCTGTTGTGTGGCTGAAAGTTAGCTGTGAGAATGAGTCCAATTCCAGGCCTGAACTGTGACTAGCAGCCACAGTCTTGGGGGTTTCACCATTCTCTATCAACCAATAATCCTGGTCTTTTTTATGTTTTTTAAATTGTGCTCCACATTTTTTCTCCCGTTCTATCCAGGACCTACAATTTTGATTGTTTTCCAAGAGGTTGGCAGTGGTAGCTGGGCACCATGACTGACGTTCTCATGGTACACTAATCCTTTGGACTAATTGTTTCCATGCATCTTTGATTTTCTTTATTCTTCTTTGCTGTGGACAAGGATGATTTTCTTTACTCTTCTTTGCTGTGGACAAGGAGAAAGCAATACTCACCACTTAGATGGCTGCATGCAAGCTTTTAAGACCCCAGCCACTACTCACCAAAGTAGGATGTGGAACAATGTTTTTCTGTACTATGTTGTTTGTGCCAATTGAACTAGATGTGCCCTATGATCATGGTCCCGAGTCTGCAGGCCCAGTAACTCCCTCAAGGTGCTTAGTTGTGGCTAAGGGATTTTCCATTTTATAATTTTTTTGGTAAGACAGCCATTGGTAACTCTACCAAGGTATATGTATTTGCATGGAAACTGAGACAAGAAAGGCATAATAAGAAGCTTTTGTATCTAAAATATAAGCTCTTTCAAAGGTGTTTTTCACTTTTAAAGGGAAACTTACAATATTGGACTATAATGGACTTATAGTCAATCATTTCTCAGTACTTTTGTGTCATTGAAACAGTCTTTTGGTAAAGTATCACTTTTCCTTGGTATTGAATAATACATATATCAGTTTATCTGTCTATATATCCATCCATCCTTCTATACACTTTACCCCTTTGTAATCTGATAAAAATGGAAAATGATTAAGATGACAATACTGTGATAGTGAGTAAAGAAGTATGGTATCATTGTTTTTATTTCACAGTCCCTAAATTACCTGTGATGAGCTTAAGAGCTTTCATTCATTAAAATAAAAAAAAAATAATTATTCACAGTACTTTAGTGTGCTATAAAACTCTAATTATTTGAACTGTAATTTGTTCAAATAGCATCTGGTAGAAAAATATATCAGACATAATTAATTGTTTTCAAGATGTGATAAGGTAGCTCTATCTGCAGAGGACAATTAAAAAGAGTAGCAGGGGGGTATTGATTGCTTTTGAGGGGAAGAAAAAAATATTCTTCATTTCTAAATGTTAGCAATTGAGAGAGAAAAATTCCCACTTGGGAAGAATGTTTTCCAGGTTGCTTCTTTGCCAGGTGTTTGAGATTGAGTGGAGTCTTAGATGAATGAACCTCATGGCAATCTTTGGGAATGATGGACCTCAGCTTCCTGCTGTGAAAGCTTCCATTTTCAAAGCACACCACGGGCATGTTCCTGTGGTCTCTATGCTACTTCCAGTGAAGACTCAAGTTCTTCCCCCTGAATCTGAGATAGCTACAAAAAAGGACACCTGACTGCTAACAAAATAAATTTCACAATGTTGACAATGAGTGAACTATGTGGTCTCATCTGTTAAAGAGATTTAACTATCACTTGTTAGCCCATATAAATGTTGCGATTACTTTCTTTTCTCTTGGTCCTTTTTAACACCATTACATGCTACAGATATGACTTACAATCATTCTAAATTTTAAAGGCAATATCCAAATAATATGATAGTTTGCTTTTAGACTACCCATGTTTTCCCCTTTCCCTTTCTTTCTCCTTGACCTAGCAGCAGGAAGCCTTTGTTTGAGGTGTTCATCTGGAACAACTTTTCCACACTTGTTTTCATGTTCTGTTAGATTACAGGGCAGCAGGCCTACCTTTGAAGCTCCTTTCTCTTTTGTTTCTTTGCTGTGCACTCCAGTAATTAACTTTGTCCTTCTTTTATTTGTTCCAGTCAATCGCAGGCCACTCTGCTGAGCATCTTCTCCCAGGAGTACCAGGTTAGAAGTTTTCTCCTTTGTGAGGGTTGACAGGTGCCTAATTGAATGATGAATGTCCCTTTATTTCTTTGTAATTGAACTGCCAGCTCTCTGATTGGGTTGGAGGATGTTCTCCTTTCCACATCAAGCACCGCCTGCGTCTCAGTGGAGGCCTGCCAAGCCTACCCATCCATCTGTCTAATAACATCTAGCCTTTGCTTATTTGGTGGACCTGTAATAAATTATGCTAAACCATTATTATTCTGACAATAATAATTTCCCTGTGTTGCGTGGTTCCATGTGCTAAATGTTTGCTGACTTGCACTGTCAGTGCCGCTTTCCATTGCTGACAGAGATGATGATAAATGACCATTGCTGGAGTGGCAGAAGGCAAGAGAGGCAGAAAATGGAGTCATTTATCATAAGATGACAGGTGTCAGTCAAGTGGCAAGTCTCTATGGAATTACTTTTTGTAGTTTTCAAGTAAGTTGTTTTTAAGCAATGTTCTTCCTGTTTAAAAATGGCAATTGGATTGTAAAACTAGAGTATAGGGGACTTAGATGGAATTGGATTGGGGGAAAATTAATACAAAGGTTGAAAGAGGGAACAAGTTTTTCTTTGCCCTCTGCAACCCTAAGCAAACTTATTTAGATTCAATTACTGTGACCCTGTTGGCTTTTACATATATACTGTACCTTCTGGTACAGTCTGAAGACATACCAGCCAAGCAATAGAGATTAAAATGCATAGGTTCATAGAGTAGGTGGGAAAAAAAAGACCTACCACCACTGAAATCCCCAAACTATTATTCAGTTTGCCCTATATGCAAGATGTTGGGATCAAGAAATATGTCCTTTTGTTCTTAAACTTGATATGTGACACAACTTAAAGATTGTTTTTGTTTTGTTTCAGAAACATATTAAAAGAACACATGCCAAGCATCATACTTTGGAAGCAATTGAAAGTTATTACCAGAGGTATGACCCACCTGCCCCACTAGAGGGTATCATAGTACCTATTAATTGTAATAATAATTATGAATAAATTAAGTTATTAAATTAATTTTCTGTATAATAACCAAGACATTGTGTTTTAAGTATGTTACTTACAACTTCAAATATTTTTTGATTGATTTTTCAAATGCTTTGTTTTATATATACAAGGAATATGGTGAGACTATTTTGACTTTCAGAGCATGTGCTTGTGCACACATACACAAGTGTATGTATACATACTATGTAAGAAATAGTTACAACATTATTAAATTTAATTGGCCACTTGAAACTTATTATAAGTACATATCTTATATAATGATATCTGTCCATATTTGCATATATATACATGTATATGTAGGAGCTCTGGTAGCCTAGTGCCTAAGGCACTTGACCACTAACCAGAAGGCTGGCAGTTCAAACCCAGCAGCTACTCCTTGGAAGGAAGGTTGGGCGATCTACTTTCGTAGTGATACTATCTTGGAAACTCAAGGAGGGATCGCTATGAGTCGTGGCTGACTTGACGGCATGTAACAACAACATGTATATGTAAAAAGCTGTAAAATCAATTTTTATTTATTTTTTATTTAAGTCAGTGAGTTGAAAAGATACATTAGACAATAAGTTTGAATTTTGTTGCAGTTGCATCTTAAAACATATGTATTAGGCTAGCCATTTTAGAAATGAAAAAATAATAGACATGTCAAATAAGGACATATGGACATACATAATCACATGAGACTGTTACATTTCAAATGAGGTTTTATATTTTAAAAAAGAATATACTGGATATTAAATAAACATCATAATGTCCAGGGAATAATTTGGATTTTATTTATTAATATCTTAATATTTCAATTTCAGCCTAATTTATTATAAATAGTTTTCAGCCTCTTCTTTTGAAACAGACAGAATCTTTAAAATAGCCTGGTTTGTTTTTAATTCTCTAACTTGTATTATCTTTGTAACATAATCGAATAATTTATAATGATGTAAATGGTAATGACTTGCTTTAGAAATTGTGGTTTGGTTTCTTAAATATTTCAAGGACATATAGGTGAATCCTATGGAAAAACTGTTTGAAATATGCTCTTATTATACTTAAGATTGACATATAAAGCTTATGTTTGGTAAGTGTGTGACACCAGTGACTACAGGTAAATGGTTTTTATGCACAAATATTTTATGAATCAAATAAATATATGGATAAAATATTGATGTCATGTTTCTCCAACATCATTTATTTTTGCGTTGAGAAACGTTTATTGAAGAGTCATGAAAGTAGATTTGAAAAAATATTTACCATACCATATGTGGTAAAATGATATATTCTATTGTGAGGAGCAATATATGTTACAGAAAAATACACAAATCACACACACACTACATGTGCATCCACGTACACATACATACTACACATTCATGCACACACACACAAACTTCTGTCCAGGAGAGTTCTTCTCTAAACAAGTCTTTGTAAAGTTCGAATTGATTTATTCAAAAAGTATAATCTCTTTGATGAGATCAACATTTAAATTAAACTCCTAACCTAAATTACACACATAAAATTAAGAATAGCTCATGAAGTTCTCTGAAACCAACAACTACTGCATTGACATTCAGACGTTCAAAGAATGAGACTAAAAAGTCCCTTACATGAGAAAAATATGTTCTTACTCATAAGTATCAGTTTTAGGTCATCATATAAAAAAATATGATTCTTTGTCCAGATTGTAAAACCATGTTAACCCAAGAAAAGGAAAATAGAAGGAGCATTTGAGAAGAAAGGTATTCTTTCCTAGCGAGGTGAGACCCACTTAGTGACAGTGGGATGGCCCTCTGATATTCGTTTCCTCATTGTAAAAAGAGTTTTCATTTGATAGCTTCTAAGATCTCTAGGTGCTGCTTTAAAAAATGGTACATAGTTTCATTAAAAGTATTTAAACTATTGAATATGAGCATGTTTTTGTTGGATTGTCTGGATCTTTTAGGTCCTAAATGGAAATTTTTTATTTAAGTCTGTTTACTCAATGATAATAAACAGACTTATATAATGAGAATATGCTGTCATCGTTGTTGTTGCTGTTATGTGCCGTCAAGTCGGACACGACTCATAGGCACCCCTCCTTGGGTTTCCGAGGCAGTATCACTACGGAAGTAGATTGATTGCCCAACCTTCCTTCTCAGGAGTGGCTGGTGGGTTTGAACTGCCAGCTTTCTGGTTAGCAGTCAAGTGCCTTAGAGAATATGGACATGCATTTATATTCCTCTAAATCTGTTTAAATGTGAGAGTCTGAATTTGATGAGTTACAGTATCTACAATGAAAATCTGAAATTGGACTGTACTGGACAGCCTCAAAAAAAAACAGTCTGGCTACTTTCTTTAACAACTTGTTCTCTGACTTTCTGGCTCTGTAGTTTGTTAGGTACAGGCCACGATGTTACCTTTCAGACGGATTGACTTCACCACTTCTTGTTCTAAAAGTGCAGATCAAATGTCCATATATTCTCTAAGGTAAATGGCCTTATAAAATTGTTGTCTCTTTGACTTCTATCTAATTGAGACAAAGGCAAATTGTAATATAGCACTATATACTGATGGTTTGACAATATTAATAACAATTTTTTAAAAATTATAAAAATAATACTTATGTTGAAAATTAAGCACATAAGTAATGGCATAAAATATGAGTGAATAATTGCTCATGTTGTACCACTCAGAGATACTGCTTGGGTATTTTCCATTCTATTCTTTTCTTTTTTTCCCCCAATTCATTTTTATATAGATAAGGTCATACTGTATGTGCCATTGTGACTCGTGAATTTTATACCTGGAAAAATGTATACGACATAATATTATTTTGTGGAAAACCTTTGATAAACATTTTGTTGACTGCATTACTTCATTGTATAAAATATTATAGTCTATGAATTATTCTTCTATTGAATATCTATGTTTCCAGTGTTCTGATGTAAATAATATTGTGATAAACATCTTTGTGCAAAAATCTTTGCTTTGTGGATTAGGTTCTTAATATTTCTATATTTGTAATTACTATTGTGAACAATGTCAACATTTAAGAAATTACTTTATGTTGCTCAGTTATCTAGAAAATTTGTACTGGTTATATTGCTACTAGCAACATAAGATAATTCCTTTGTTTCTGCATTATTGCTAGCTTTGAGATGATCTCAATTAAGAATTCAGAGTCAGTATTTAAATCCATGTGATCCACAATGTTATTCATCATGGTTACCTGAGACATAGCAGTGGAAATGTTTCCTTAGACTTCTGAATTATTTAGAAAATATCCCCAATTCTCTACTTTGTGTATGGACAGATGGAGCTTGAGTGTTCATTTTGAAAACTACTCTCTATTCTTTCATACTGCCCTAATGCCAGTTTATTTCCAAACTAGAAACATTCTTGACAAGATTTATGTAGATTTGTCTGAGTTGGTGAATATGGTCATGCACACACACACACATTAGTCAGATTTTCAAGTTCCCATCAACAGCAAAGTTTAGATATAATCCTTCCTATCTCTTCACTTCCCCTTGTCTGTAGGGCCAACTTTATTAGTTTTACACAATCAGATCAATTCCATTTCACTCAGATTTATACAAGTATAAATGGTTGGTTCAAACATTTTTGACATTACATGATAAAGATAAACTTTCTGAGAATTTGAATGCCTTTTTTTTTTTTTAAATCAGCATCATTTACTTTCCACTCCATTTGTCCTATATCCGATGCTAGAACTGAGTATATAGAAGTAAGACATAGTTCCTGCCCTCAACTGCTCTGTTTAGTGGGAAACAGCTATGCACATAAATCCAGAAAATGCCATATGAGAAGTGCTAGCAGAGGTATGGCTATACAAATTGCTGTGGGAGTTCCAACAGCTAGTGACATGGAGTGTCAAGGACACTTGAATAAGCACAGCCTAGAAATACGAGTTGGCTTTTCTAGTTTGTTAAGGAAGGGGAGGGCATCTAAGCTGAGAGAAAACATGGTTGGTGGCAGAGTGGTGATGTGGAACAGCTGTGGACGTTCTTGTGCCTGAGAATAGAGAACAAATGGAGGCCAGCAAGATAAGCCTGAAAGGTAGGCAGGTGCTGAAGGATCTCCTTCTGAGGAGCAGGATTTTTTTTTTTTCCTTCAAATAGGCAATGTGTACCCAGTGGTGGATTTTAAGCAAGAGAATACTATGATCTGAGTTTCCTTTTGGGAAGATAATTCTGTGGCAGTGTGAGAGGATGAATGATTCAACTGAGCCCCTGGATGAGAGAAATCTATTAAGTCAGCCCTTAGAGTAGTTTGTTGTTGTTATTGTTTAGGTGAGAAACTAGTGGCAGTGGCAGAGGCAGTGGGTTGGGGTCCAGAGATTTTAGAGTCAATGAAGCTGCTGTTCTGAGTTCATGTACAAATTGTGGTAGGTTTTTCAAGTTTGAATGCAGTTTTAATGAAAATATTAAAAACAAAAAATGAGTTATTTTGCTTCATATTTGAAATAAGTACATATTATTTTAATCTTAGCTGCTAATGGGATCTTTCATAGTCAAAACCAATACACTGCACCTTCTGTAAGTTATTTCAGGAATGATTTTACCCACAGAATATAAATCCTCCTGTGGTAAAGCTGTTGTTAGGTGCAGTCAACTCAGTTCTCACTCATAGTGACCCACTGTACAACAAAATGAAATACTGCCCTGTCCTGCTCCATCCTCCGAATCATTGGCATACTTGAGCCCATCCTCACAGCCACTCTGTCCATTCATCTCATTGAGAGTCTTCCTCATTTTCACTGACTCTACTTTACCTAGCATGATATCTTTCTCTAGGGACAGGTTCCTTCTGACAACATGACCAAAGTATGAGAGATGAAGTCTGGCCATTTTCACTTCCAAGGAGCATTCCAGCTGTACTGACTTCAAAATAAATGTTTTCTTTCTTCTAGAAGTCCATGGTATGCTCAATATTC